AAATAGAAGTTTTGCGAGGTTTTGATTTCCCTCAACAACTTCTCATGAACGTTGCATTTACGTTGTATAGTAATGTTATTACGTTCCCTTAATGCAACATCGCCGAAAGGCTTGGCAACGTTATGTGCTAGCTGGGTATAATTCCGAAGATAAATTATTTTCTAAATCTTTTTTTTATTTTCCAAATATAAATTCTATATACACTTTAATCGATCAAACAAGCCTCACTCCGGATGTAACCATTATATAACCATCATATAACCCATGATTCTTGATTAGATAATCTTTCAAACGTAATAATACGTTATTTTTAGAAAAACTGCCCAAGATAAAGTACTTATTAATAAACGATTTGCATTTAAAGAATGCACTTATCTTTTAAAACAAGTATGCTTTACACATCCGGAACTAATACCAAACTACCAAATAGATATATCAACCCAACAGAATTAAGACGATTTCTTTATACATTTTTTTAATTAATACGTAGGTATGGACATAAGTTTTCAAATTGGTTGTAAAAAATTGACTACACACTGTTACTTTATTTAACATTCTATAAATAGGTACCGATTCTAAACGTCGCCTTTATTTAGGTCAACTGGAAGGATTTTGCATGCTCATCTGCCCGTTTTACTTTTTTCTTTGTCCAAATTTTTCGGTCAAATCCCACGAAGGCTGTGTTAATTGACAAATATTTGCACTCTGCCTTCATACATATAGAGCAAATTCGAGAATTTTTTATGTATTTTTGAGAATACACAGAAAGTTAAACAAATATACGGATCTATTGCGATTTTTACGAGCACCTATGATGTGATTCGTGAGAATTAAGAAAATTGTATATATTTAAAAATATGCAATTGTTAAACATTACAAATCAAACGATTAAAAAGACCTACTCTACATAATCCATCAATTGAAACAGATATGTAAGCTGGACCCGAGACAATTTGCAGAAAGCAAATAGATTTGCGAAATATTTATAGTAATCCCAGATAGCACAAAGTCGTCTTAAAGACGTCTTTAAGACGTCAAGCATAAGACATTCGAGACGCCTTTAAGACGTCTGGTATTTCCTGAAAGACGTCATTAAGACGTCTTAGAAGACGTCTGATGTTACAAAAAGCGACGTCTTTAAGACGTCTTATTGGTCTTGTGAAGCTTTAAATAAGATGTCTTTAAGACGTCTCATAAATGGCTTATAATGGTCTTGTGAAGCCATAATTTATCGTGCATCTTGGTTATTAAAATTAGTAGAATAACCTTGCAGGTTATAAAGAATGCAAAAAATAGAATTAAAAATATTTATTAATAAAATATCTATTAATCACAGGTCACTAAGAGTTATTTTCTTTGTAGCACATTCGATCACTCCTCTTTAGCCATAACTGGATTGATTTTTTTTTTTTTTTTAATTTGAGGTTGCCTTTGTATAGTCGCTTCTAAAAAGAAATGTAGGTAAGAGCATTATAGTCACAAGAAGTTATACTTTATAAAAGTTAGTAAAAACCGAAAGAACAATTATGAAACAAAACAAAAAATTAATTTCCTACAATTTTAAATCAATTTTTATAACAAATCATTTAAGACAAGATGAGCTATTATACTTAATCGCCTATTTTGACAATTTTACTTTAACTTCACTCAAAATGGCTATCTAACATGTGGCTTTTGATATCAATAGTTCTCGAAATCTCCATAAAATTTAAAAAATGGTAATTGACGAATAACTGAATTAAATCTTATATTAAGATGTTTACTCTTTAATTCATTTAATTATTCTTATTTAGAAGAAACAGGATATTAATGTTTATGTATATAAACAAATATTCATTTATTACCTGTAGAAAGTATTCCAGGAACGTGATACATCGGTAACAGAAACTCCACTATTCTTCCTTCTCTGGTTTTAGTCCCATATTATTTAAGTAAAAAGAGACCAAACACAAATGCACAAAGTAGCCCAAACACACTTTTGGCGGCTATAATCGCGTACGCAATAGAATAATCAATAATTAGGCATTCCAACGACCTGTCAAACAATAGGTGCCAGTGGGAAATTCTTGTATATCTAAGGGGGGTAGCGACATAGTCTTGCAACTTGGACGCTATTTTTATTCAAAGTAGTAGTCGCCAAGCCTGCCAATTTATGAAGAAATGTATAGGTGGGTTTTTTAAATATTATTTTTATTGTGTTTGACATAAAATATTTAAATGTAATCCATTATTCATGATTTTACGTAAAGTAGATAGAATACACCATATGTCGCCACCCTTAGATATACCAAACCTGCCCACTGGTAATTCATTTGTTTGGAATGCCTAATTCACAATAAGCTTGGGCTTGAATGTAGTGTTAAGTCAAACGTCAAACCTCATTTCATTTAATTCTTCTTTCTCCGTCTGACTGAAAGACGTTTGTATGACGTCTTAAAGAGGTTTTTGAGCTTTCACATTAATATATAGATTTGGAAACACGTCTTTAAGACGTCTTAAAAACGTCTTTGAGCTCTCCCATTAATACGTCTGAATTATGGCTTTTGACAGACGTCTTATAAGACGTCTTAATAACGTCCTAGGACATTGAGACCAAACCAAGACACAAAAAAGACGTCTTTCAGACGTCGTGTGCTATCTGGGATGCAGTGGCGGTTTGCCCGTAAGGGCGCTTATTGGGCACCTGCCCCAGTATAATAAACTAAAAGAAAAAAATAATTTACATATTTTATATTTTCCTCTATACCTATTATTATTTTATCTAATATTCAGCGAAAACCGCGTTGGCACGACACTGGACGACCGGGCGTTGAGCGACGTTCCGAGAATTCCGAAATTAAGTGTAAGATGGACACAGGACACAGTAAATGTGTGCCTCTGTTTTCTTCTCTCTCATTATGACGCGAAAAACAAGGACAACGACAATATCGCTTAGCAAGAGATGAACACATGCGATGGATTATACGTCACAAATGGGGCGCTGTCCTCATCGTGACGTGCTGTACCCATAGTTTATTTGTTTACCTTCAACTTAGCGCTGCCGGGTGGTTTTGCTTGTTGATCTTTTGGGGCCGTAAATTTCGGTAATTCGTTTTGATAATTGTATTATATAATTGTTATTTCACTATTATGAATTCTGCGAAGAATTCCGTACAAAATATTTTAAACGGTGCGTTATCGTTTAATGACAAAATCGCAGCAAAGACTCTAGAGCGGCCGATGTCGAGTTTGTACATTGAGCAAAAAAATATTACACAAAAACGTACGTTTAAACGTAGTTTTAATAGAACAATTTACGAGAATTATTCGGGGCTGTGTGGTTGCGAAGTGACAGACAATTTTTTTTTGTTTTTCGTGTATTTTGGCATCCAGTGGCAAACAATCTAGTGTGGGTGACTTTAGTTGGATTAAGCACGGGGTAAGTGATTTGAAACATTTGGACAGCAAAGCGAAATCCCACATGGTTTCCAAAAAACATTTAGAACATTAATTGGAGATAAGTATGTTGGGTCGAGTAAACATTCGTAATCAGTTGAGTAGTGCTTACCGCGATTCTATAAAAAAAACATAATAAGGCCGTTGACAGCAACCATTACATATTGTCCAAATTAATTGACTGCATAAAACGTTGTGGCGCTTTTGAGATTGCTTTGCGAGGGCATGACGAAACGTCAACTTCAGAAAATCCTGACATTTTCAGAGGTTTAGTTAATTTAATGGCTGAAATAGACAGTGTATTAGAGGCACACTTAAATGACACAAAAACAAATTGTTTCAAGGTACATCAAAAACCATTCAAAATGAATTGCTTGATTCAATTTTACACGTTTGTCAAGACATAATAAAAAAAGATATTCAGGCTGCTAAGTATATCGCCATACAGGATGATGAAACAACTGGTGGAACAACTCAAACGCAGATGGTTTTGATAATCAGATATGTAAAAGACGGTCGGATTTACGAAAGGTTTTCGAGTTTTTTGAGACCAATGGATCACACTGAAGACGGGCTCTCAGCGGCAATTCTGGAGGTAATAAGTGAATTAGGAATTGACAAAGTACCTGAAAAACTAATAGCACAAAGTTACGATGGTGCTTCCGTAATGAGTGGTATTGTTGGAAGGGTACAAGCTAAAATTAAAAACATCTATGCAAAATACACGTCACATTTTACGTTGAAATCACCAATTTATGACGTGCTAGTGACGTGATTATGACGGCAATAAAAAACACCATAATATTCATTTAAAAATGTTTAATTTGTAAAAAAAATGTTTATAAAAAACGTTTTATTTAAAAAATGTTTAATAAAAATATGTTTTATATAAAAAAAGATAGGTTACTGCATAAAATTTCTGAATTGAAACATAGTAAGTATGTTTTGGATAGGGTTGTAAAAAAACGGCTACCTCGTTTGGCTCCTACACGATGGAATTTTACATCGAAGTTTGTCAATACTATTTATGTTTACAAGAAGGATTTGATTAAATGTCTCGAAGAAATTATGGACACAGAATTCGATAAAAAAAAACTATTAATCAGACTAAAGGGTTGATAAATTTTTTGAAAGATATCGATTTTAATTTCTAGTTATTTTTCTTCAGCAAATTAATGCCAAATTGCGATATACTTTTTGATCAACTGCAGAGTAGACAGCTCGATGCTCTCAAGGATAAGGTCCACTTTACATTATGCTTAATTTATATCTTAATTTAATTACAAATTTAATTATAAATTTAGGATGTTATTTAGAAGCGTGTAAAACATATAAATTTGCAACCTAATTTATGTTATAAATTATGAACCAAATTTTTAGGATATGTTCTATTTTCCATCACAAATCAACTCGTAAATATGCGCACAAGTGGCAATTTATTATTAGGGGTTATGTTTTAAGTTTTGGGCGTGGTTCTGTTTTCTACATAAAGTTTTCTGTTTTGGTTTTGTTCTCACTGTAGTTGGCGTGTGATTATTTAAATTGTTTTAACTTCTTTTAATAAGTATCTTGCTTGAAAATGTCTTGGTCAAGACAACAAGTGGAAGAATTAATTGATGCTTATTTTGAACATCCGTGTCTATACAATGTGCATTTAAAGTTGTATCACAACAAACATGCACGAAATGCTGCATTAGAAATTATAAAAGAAGCATTATCTACTGTAAGGCCAGGCATAACAATTCCAGAAATAAAAAGCAAATGGAATGGATTGAAAACAAATTGTTCTACAGAACATAAAAAAATCCAACAATCTCAGACAAGTGGAGCAGGCACGGATGATGTAAGTTATTTAGTAGTGAACTTTCATTTATTGTACTCAGTATTTTCGCAGTCTCATTCATAAACATTGACGATTTAAATTTATATTTCAGATTTATACTCCATCCATTTGGTATTACAGTAAATTAAGTTTTTTATTGGATTATACCAAACCAAGGAAATCTATGGATTCCATTTCGGACCAAGTAGAGAGTGATGTTTTACATGGAGAGATATGTGAGGAGGAAGAAAATATGTTCAGTCAGTTTTCAGCTCACTCTGATATAATTATCGAGTATGAAAATGATAGTCAAATAGAATCGTACAGTTCCGAACGAACTGATGCATCATCAATACCAAGTACATCAACTAAAATGCAAACTCCTAAGACTACTCAAGTACCACGAAAAAGAAAGAAAATTGAAATAGATGCTGCAACAGATGTAATGCAAAATATTGCCTCTATTTTAAAAAATAAAAACAGGTCAGAAAAAAAAGTGAAAACAATGAATATGCACAGTTTGTTGTTAATAAACTGGATCAAATAACAGATGAAGATATTTTGTTAGAAACCGAGGAAGAAATTAACAGCATATTGTATAATGCAATTAAAAAATGTAGGAAGCGTAAAAATTAATTGTTTTCAAACTTTTTAAATATGCTAATCTTTGTAGGTAATGTTTAAGTATAATAGTTTTTTTTTAATAGATTGTAAAGGATTAAATAAATAAGAGTAGGATTTTGTTTTTAATATTTTGTTTTAATTTAACCTCTTACAAATTATGTTTTATTATCGATTCTTCTTGCCAGTCAACTTGTCCAATTGCTGAATTAAAATATTTTTTATATTCTTCTCTAGTTGCCCTTGCAATGTTTGAGGATTTGTTTTCAAATTGATTTAGTGCTTTTTCTAAGGTACATGGAACTTCATTTTTATTTTGGGTATAAGATTTACCGTTTATTGTGCATAAATAGTTATGCAATATAACACAAGTTAGGGTAATTTTTTCAACTTTGTGTGCTGCAAGATTTATAGGATTCAATAAAACCCTAAACCTGTTTACTGAAATCCCAAACATGCTTTCAATCATTCTACGAGCTCTTGATAGTCTGTAGTTGAAGATTGTTTGATCATGATCGAGGCCTCTTTGAGTAAATGGCTTCAGCAAATTAGGAAGCAGAGGAAATGCATCATCAGCAATTATGACATATGGTACTTTTTTCTGTCGACCTGGCAAACATTTTTCCTCAGGAAAATTCAAAGAATTTGTCCTTAATGCATTTGACAATTTGCTTGCATTAAAAACACCTCCATCACTAATTCTTCCATTTATGCCAATATTGACATACAGGAATTTGTAATTAGCATCTCCTAAACCTAACAAAACAATACTATGTCTGCCTTTATAATTAAAAAAATATGACCCATCTTCTATTGGAGGTCTAAATTTTATGTGCCTACCATCAAGGGCACCCAAACAGTTAGGAAATTGCCAGATATTTTCATAATCTTTAGCTACTTGTTCCCATTCCTCTACAGTAGTAGGTACCTACAAAATATAATTTTTAATTTATAAAACAAAAAATATATCTATTTTTCATATCAAGTGTTATATGTACAAATATATACTAACTTTACGGTATGATGGGCCTAGGTTTTTAATAATGGCATCACAAACCACTGGTATAAATAAAGAAATTGTGCTTTCATGTATTCTGCTGCTGTACATTAGAGATCGAAAAGACTCTCCAGTCGCCAAAAAGCGGAGGGTAACTTCTACTCTGTAATAATAACTTAATGTAAAATTATATCAAAAGACAATATAACTCACTTCTTACTTACTGCGTACATGAATCGCATCCCTCATAAAAGTATCTTCTTTTCTCAGGTCAATTTCAATGAGACTAATCAAAAAATCCACTTGATCTGCACACAATCTAAGAAAATTTTGATAACTCTCTGGGTCTTCAACTTTTAATTCGGAATTTAACATGTGCAAGATTCCTCTACCTTCCTCCCGTCTTTGTAGCCATGAGCGATACCACAACTTTCAATTCCGCTTTTTCTTTTGTTTCTTCTGTACAAATTTATATAAATAAATTGCCGTAGCTGTTAGTAACAAATCTTCATCATCCATTATTAAAATAAGTAATCATACTAGACGTTTACCACCTCTCCACCTACCAAAAAGCCTGTCAACTTCATTCTCTGAACTCTGCTCTAAATTTATAACTAAATTAAGTGTAATATTAGCACTTCTCATTACAGTTTTGTTACTAAATTTAGTTTACAATAACTACCTTTACACGTTAATAATTTTATTCACAAATTTAGTATTAAATTCAAAACTAAATTTGAATTCAAATTAAGCACAGTGTAAAGTGGACCTTAAGATAAACATATCAAATTTTGCAGCAGCTATTCAAAATATTAGAAATAATATAGACACGCTAATTCATGAAGAATGTCAATCACAACAAGACCCACAAGAACTAAACTTAAACGACAACATCCAATCAGGTCCAAGTACAAGCAAGAAGAGATGGTTTGTTGAAAATAAAATTTGTGATATAATAGTAGTGCAGGTAAATGAACGTTTTAGTTTTACTACCCACCTAAAATTGCAAGTTTATTTTATAGTGAAAAATTTAAAGACTACCGAGGTTTTTTTCCAAACGAGGACGTTAAAACTAAGTATGTGTAGTTTATTTCCAAATGTAAATAGCTTAAAATTAAAAAACGAACTGTCCATACTTTACACCCGAGATTACTTTGTGCAAAACAATGGGGCCGTACCGTTTTACAAAAATGTTTTTTGAGAACAATTTGACAATTACATTTTCGGAATCTGTGGAGCTGCTAACTATCCTGTGTACAATTCCCATGACCACAGTGGAGAGTGAAAGATGTTTTTTGACACTAAAACGTATTAAAACATTTTTAAGGAACACTATGTGCCAAGATAGATTGTGCGCGTTAGCCATGTTATCAATCGAAAAAAACTTATTCGGTCCATTCCAAATTTTAATAAGTTGGTTATCGATCACTTCGCTAGCCAATCCAGAAGAATGGACTTCAACTATAAGAAATAGTATACAACTGCCGCAGTACCTAGCAGTAAGTCTTCAATTTTGTAATAATTAATTTGTTTTGAAATATATTTAATTTTCATTAAGCGGAGAACTTGTTTTCCTAAGGGAAAAATGAGTTACGGGATTCCTTTCCACTGCCGCTAGTGCCCACGAGCCGCCACTGTAGTAATGACAGATTTCAATAAATCATTTTCGCAAGCTTTATTTTTTGAATATGAGTTATTCAAATAGCAACTAACAGTAAAATCATCGTCTTCCATTCCAGTTGTACGACAGGGGGTTTCGGGAGGATTGCAATTCCAGAAAAAAAATTCAAAAAAAAATCATTTTTGCATGGATGAAACTTGGTGTACACGTTGATATGAACATAAAAATATCGTCTTCCACCTGAATTGTACAAGAAACTACGTCTTCTACCCACATAAATAGGCGTAAAAAAATAATAAAAAAAAAATATAGTCGCAAAGTGTGATGCTAATTTTTATAGTAAGAAAAATAAAAATAATAGTCTTTCACCAATAAAACACAACGAAGGTCATCTTCCATCTGATAAAGGTGTTCTCGACATGGATCAAAAACCTTTGAACACATACATTTAGATATATTTTACATTTCTAATCAATCTTATTTGACTATAATTATTGATTCTTTTTCGCGATATGGTCAGGCTAATCTCCTAGAATTTATTTCACATCATGGACTACCACAAAAAATAACTACCGATAGTGGAACATTAAAAAATTTCGATTTAGAATACTTTTGTAAACTACACCATATCCAATTAGATATCATTACCCCAAAAAAATAGTAATTCTATATTCCCTAGGGAAACTGTTTCATTCCAAGTCTATTAGAACATTATGTTTACAAGAAGAAAACAAACATTTCACACCAGATCGACTAATTAAAAATTCTGTATTTTGTTATAATAATAGTATACATTCAGTGACAAAGTTCACGCCATTTGATATAATTAAAGGACACATTGATAATTCAAATCTCTTTGATTTAGACCATCACTTAATAGTTTCTAATTATGTACAAAATCATAAACAAATTAGTAAACAGATGTATATCAAAATTAAACAACGTAACGAAGAAGTAAAAGAAAATTTAATAAACAAATTAAATGAAAAGAGATCTGAACCAGATAACTATTCTAATCAAAACTCATGTTTTGTCAAAACTAAATCAAGAAATAAAAAATTACCAAAATTTAAAAAGGCAAATGTAATTGAAGATAAAGGTATAATAAAAACGGATAAGGATACTTATCATAAAAGTATTGTTAAAAAACCGAAAAATAATTTTAAAAAATTGGGTTATGTTGCAGTTGAAGGGTCTGGAAATGGGCCAGTGCGCCCCATTCCTGTTCCGGCTAGTTCTGCCAGTCGGAATCGTTACGGAGTTGCCAGGTTATATTTAATTATTTGGAACCAGGGAATAAGCAGATTGAAATAACTATTTTACTTTTAATCATCTATTTACCAATTTTTTCATCGATTGAAAAACCCATAAAAATAAAAAAATGTTCTGAGGATTTTCAAGTAATACGATCGTTTTTTAATGTGAATAATACCTTTCAATAGTGATAATTACAAAATTTAAAAGTAAAATCTATCAAAACTGTCTTATAAAACAAAACAGAATTGTTATTTCAAAATATAATATAAATCTTTATATTTATTTATCATACATATATTTTTAGATTTAAAAGAAGTAGTTAAACAAGTTAATAATTTAGTTAATCATTTTGGATCGATAAAACACATTATAGTTTATGTTAATGCAGCTAACGCTATAATCTTATCATAGATTATCACAAAATATGTTAACAAGAACAGAATATCTAATAATTACTCTTCAGAAAAATAATAATAGTTTAATTCCTTATGTAAGACATAAGTAGATACCGCGATATATATATAGGAAATTCAATGTGTTAGAGAGAGAGAGAGAGATCCCCTGCCGCAATGCGATCGAGAGAGATAGATTTCTCTCAATCCGCATAAAATATCTTCTTTCCTTTTTCCAATGATTGGGACCAAAGAAAACATACTTTATGAATGAAATGCATCATCTGTTGTTTCATTTATCTAAGGTTAGCACTAAATAAATAAAATCACAGAGGCTCAATCATTTAATACTATGGTTGAGATGTAAACCGTAACATATTACCACAGCTTATACAATACAGCTCCACAACTCCGTGTCGGCGTCTTTAATGTGGCGGTCGAGAACCAAGCGAGACGGAATGGTGCTATCTCTGTTAGATTCGACGGAAAAGTCGGGCCCGGATTAAAAAATATATTTATTATTGAAATAATTGAAGACCTTGGCGTAATTAGGTTGGTTACATGGCACATTAAGTAAGTTTTGAGAAATTAAGTTTTAAATTTGTTTTAAATCTATCAAATATAAATAAAAAAATTATATAAATATTACGAATAACAACTCATCTTTTGGATTAGAGATAAAATAATTTGTATGTGGCTAGTAATATCCTTTTTAACAGATGTTTTAAGCTAAAACAGTCACTTCACGACAAATTGTGGCCGTGGATGCAAATCAAGTGGTACCCCGTGTGTCTAGCAAGTGTCATTCATCGCGCAAAGGGTTTATAGTGTTTATACCTAGATAAACGACTGCTTCGACTGACTGAGGTCTGGGAACTCGATGATATTGTGGGTTATTATAAAGAATTGGTAACTTGTGCTTTTATTTTAACAATATCGGTTTTATTTAGATGTATTTTTAATCATAAAGATTTGTAGAAGTAATAATTTGACAGTTTTTATTTATATATTATATTTTTATCTGACCGTACCGAAATAGAGAATTTTGAAACTTGATACTAATGTGAAATTTAGATTACAATATTATGCGAAATTATATAATGAGTACCTATTTTAGGTAGGTACTAAATTTGTACTTGGAGAAAGTAATGTCGATTTTTACAAGAAAACTCGAAAAGTAAATTAATTTAGTTCCTATTTACTGATGTAAACATTAAACCAAGAAAACAAATAAATAGTAGTTTGTGCAACAAGAGTGGATATGGACAATCCACTCGAGTTGTACAGTATATTTTTTCTACGACCCACTGACGAAAATCTACAAATTAAAATAAATTATTTTAGGTTATTTAGACAAAATAACTAATGTTAAAATAATTTACGAAATTTACTAATTTATAAAATAAACATAAAAAAAATTAATTTAATTAGTCCCCGGCCTAGATTCGATCCCGGGCTTTTCTCGTGGAAGGCAGATGCTCTGTCCTCATCTTCACTGACACTTTTAGGATTTTAGTTTTAATGCTCGTAATTAAATGACATTCACACAGCTTGTAACTTTTATATAGATCGTCCAATTTCTCCAAAAGGTCTTCCCGATTGTCTTTCATTGCCCATATCCTAGCCCTGAAAAAAATCATGTGTTTAGGTTTAAATAAGTTAATTATTAGACTATCATCTACACAATTAAACAAATTTAGAATTCCTAGCTCAATGGGTAACTTAAGCACCTAGGAGGAATTATTAAAAATAAAAACAGCCTAAACCCAACGCAAGTCAATAAACGAATCTGTTTATACAGGGCGTAATTGTTCCATATTTTAATTTGTTATATTCGTTTTTTGCCTGGCAAATAAAAATTTATGTTTTTTTTAATAGAACATACTATATTTTATTTTTAGAATGGCTTGTTAACACTATATTCAACCCTAGCATGTTTTAAAAAAATATTACAGTTTTGCCAAACAATTATTTTTTTTTAAATTAGAGAATGATGCTAACCCCAAATTAAATTATCATAATTTAGGTAGGTTTACACTGATTTAAAAATTGTTAAATATAGATACTTATATGATACTAAGCTAACGAATAGTAGTGATAGAACTGGTTTATTTTATTAAAAGTGTTCTCAAACGTGCCTTAAATATGGCTAATTTTAAGTTCAATTTACTAAATTTTTTTTAAATGTATATTATTTTGACATAAAATTCCTAATACATTTACCTATTCAACGATACCAACATGTTAGCCAATAACACATATACAGGGTGTCCCATTAGTGCGTAATGGATTGATAGCTGTTTTATTATCAGAAATACAAAAAAAAAAATTCATATAAAAGTTGTATTGTCATATTTAACAATTACCCCTAAGTATACAAGGTGGCCTATAAACGAGGTGCTGACCAAACCTATAATACTACAGGTTGTTATTCATATTTGATTGTTATCACATCGTCAAACAATTTTAATTAACTTCACTCATTTGCTATGTTGTATATAAGGTGTGTCAAATCGTGAGGTTACGATTTTCTCTATTTTTTAAATGGATTACCCTGTATCAATTAGTCGGTGGTATACTTTATGGGGTATTCCATTTAAAACCGTGAGAAAACCGTTACTCCCCATTTTGACACACCCTATATACCCTATAGCAAATAAATGAAGTCTATTAAAATGGTTTGACGATGTGAAAACTATCAAATATGTATGACTACCTGCAAGGTGTTTTGCTTTAAAAATGAGTAAGTTTCGTCAACTCCCTTCGTTTATGGAACACCCTGTATATTTAAGAATATTTATTAAACATGGTCATACAAATTTACATAATTTTTTTTTTCGTATTTCCACTAATAAAACAGCTATCGATCAATTACGCACTCATGGGATACAAAGTTTATGTGTTATTGGCTAATATTTTGGTATAGATTAATAAGCAAATTTATAAGGAATTTTAGGCCCAAATAATATACAGGGTGTTTTGTTTGAAAAAATTGAGTAAATTGAACTTAAAATTAGCCATATTTAAGACATGTTTTAAAACACTCTGTATAAAATAAACCAGTTCTATCACCACTATTCGTTAGCTTAGTATTTTATAAGTCTGCATATTAAACAATTTTGAAATCAATCTAAACCTACCTAGATTATGATAATTTAATTTGGGGTCTGCATCATTCTCTAATTTAAAAAAAAATTAATTGCTTGGCAACACTAATATTTTTTAATACATTTTAGGGTTAAATACAGGGTGTTCCATTTAAAAAACATACATTTTGATTTACAAATTCAATATTTAAAAATATTTTTAAATATGTATTTTTCAAATCCATATAATTTTTATTTAAAACTTTTTTTGCGTGTCTACAACACAAATTCAAATATTGAACAATTACGCACTAATGGGACATTCTGTATAAATTATGTTATTATTAATGAAAATTTCTTAGAATGTGGTACTTACCGGTTTGGGTCCTTGGGAAAACGAAAGAATGTTTTCTTGCAGGTATAACCCTTATTAAAACAGCTTTTGACTGCACAGACAGAATGATGTCTTTTTTTTCACTCATTCTACTCACAGTTAAAGAGTCACCAAAATAACAGTACCTTTAACTTAACACAACAGGCATCTCAAACAAAATTAACGAAATTATAGGCTCAATGAAATTATGCAATCAACGAAATTATACGCACGGCTCAATCCTTACCTAAGTACGATTCTGAACGCCAAAGCCGTCTTTTCCGTCTGAAGGAGGAGCTTAAGTAATGCGCGACGGAATCGACGCAAACCGTTGCCGCCAAGAGAGTGGTTTAGCTGTATTGTATAAGCTGTGATATTACTTAAATAATCAGAAGCTAGGGTCAAGGGTCCGATTACAATTAAAAGAACACAGGCTACCTACGTCATCATTTGTAAAAGTTTATAATTAATTACTTATCGCCACCTACTTGGGGTTTAGTGGAATATTAATATTATAGGAATATAGGAAATATTGTTTTATACCATACAACTTATATTTTATCTATTGATAGTAATAGATAATATGTATTCCAAATTCATAGTAATGGTTATGACGTAGCTGTGTTCTTTTAATTGTAATCGGACTCTACCTATGGCATATTTTTAAAATGCATTTAAATTGCAGTGAAATCTCTAGATTTTAATTTATCGCTGTCACTGGTTTCTCTTTTTATTTCTACTAAAGATAATAACCTCCTAATCTTTGATAATTAAAATCACTATTTTAGGATTAATTTGTGGTACATCTACGTGTCACATGGCAGTTTCTGAAAAGGCAATTTTTGCACCTGGCATATGGGGACCGTACAAAAATGCCATGGTACCGGGCATGTGGTTAAATGAAGGAGGGCAAAGTGCAACGGGCAAACTCATAGATCACATAATTGACAATCATCCAGCAACTCCAGGGATTCGGGAGCAGTTGGCAAATATGTAAGTTACCATCATTTAAATAATTATTAAATGTCTAGACGATAAAGATGATTTTAAATGCCTGTTATGAATTTAACCAACGGTTATTCATCGCGCATATCTGTTATAAACAGTAGGTTCTTTCGTTCGCTATTGGTGTAGTGCCCACCAGTGTAAATTACACCAGTTACACCACCTTATTTACCCTAATTTACTTCCTCCTTATTCCTTATAAACATTGTCGAGTGTAATTCACTCCTGCTAAATAGCTGGTGGAGAAAATATCCACCAGTGTACACCACATAGCCGACAGTAAGGTATAGTGGGTTTTACACCGGACCAAACGAAAGGTATGGGTGTGGGTTGGTGTAATTCATTACTACACCCAACTACACCAGTGGGACGAACAAAAGAACCTAGTGCGTCTCAGTTTTTGCAATAATCCTCAATTCATATTGTAAATAAAACTAAAAACTAACAATAGTTTTCTGATATTTTCGATTGATCCAAATTTTGTTAACGTCCGAATATTTATCTGTAGCATTTGTCTAAACCTTTGAAACAATCAGTAAATATTAGTCCAACTAAATTTTGTATTTTTCAGGCACATACAGCAATACTTAACCGAACTTTTGGAGGATCTAACCGATAAGAAAGAACTTAGTTCCATGGCGTTCCTCACGAAAGATCTGCACGTTTGGCCAGATTTCCACGGTAATCGTTCTCCTATTGCTGACCCAAGTTTAAAAGGCACAGTATGTATTTATAAGTGAATTATTCTCATAATTGCCATCCTAATTCATTTCACTACAGTAAATAGGTTTACAATAGTATTTCTTTAACAATCTTAAAAGAAAGAAAAAGTAAATATTGAAAAAAAGAACTGTCGTCCATTTTGTATAACGACATTGCCACCTCGGTGTTTCTGTCTGTCATAGCCGTTTTACTCAGAGACTATTTGATATCACATACTTTGATTTTCTTTTACTATACGGAGAATGGTCGCACTGCGCAGCTTTCTGAGTGCCTTTTAAAAGGAGATAGAAAACTCCGCCATTTTGAACCCTTATTACGTGTTGCCTACATCTTGGCGCAATATTTTTAATAGGTGCGTTTTAATCATCCGCTTCTGCTTCGGAATTGTCGGTTTTCTTGTTTTAATCTGACAGGTTAAAACGACTAAACCGACAATTCCGGAAGCAGAAGCGGATGATTAAAACGCACCTGATATTTTGCTTGCTGCTGTCAGTGAATATTATTTTTGAAGTCACAGTTTATTGGTAAAGAATCAGTTAGCTCACTCGGACCAGTTGAAAGTTCCAAAATAACATCCATTTCAGGGATACAAATTCAGAATACGCAGAAGACTGCTGTTTTATTATAGGCGGTTATCATATATTGTATTATCCGAGTTGCACTATAAACTGAAACATTGAGATCCAAAGTGCCGACGCGGAGTGAGCGATCTGATTCTTTAGCTGTAAACTGTGTCACAGGGTTCAAAATGGCCGCGCCCTATGTTGGGCGTGTCGGACCTCTCTCTTGCCTCGTATAGTAATCAATGTATGTGATTTGATATACATAATTGAAATTTGAAGTAATCAGTGGCTCAAATTAGGGGTTAAGACACTGAACTATATATTAAACTGGAAGAACAAAGCCAATCAACAAAATCAAGCCGCACAGCGAGGTGGGTCTGCTGTACTTTGTATCTGCGCCTGCCAGCTAAAATGTATCAACATAATATCAACTCTAATTAATCTGAAACCTCTAAGATGCTGAACACTGCGCGTTGGTCAAACTTTTATTATTTAGCTTTAAAACTTGTAAAAAATGACGTGTTTGTCTGTAATAATTCGCGATATATAAAATTGATGTAGGTTACCTAACAAGTTATACAACATAAAATCATAAAATCACAAAAAGTGTGTCTCAGAAGGTTTTATACAACTTTATCCTACATTTCACAAAAAAAACTTATTAAAAAATTCTGCATTACTTTGAAATCCATAATCAAGCATCAAATTTGATAAAAATTTAAAAATTTCTATGTTATAGTTAACCTTTTGACTATCTGGAAATCTGATGTTTAAATTTTAAATTACTATAAGCAATGGAAAATTTCGAATAAGCAAAAAGTAAAATGTTTAGAGAGAAAATATTTCGTCTCGACCAAATTATATCGATTCTTATAATTATAAATGTATTACGATTAACGCATTTAACCCATTAACGCCCAGTGTACTCATTTGAGTACACCTACAATATCGCGATCGCAACGCCACACAACGCCGTATTTTGTAAATGTAACATAAAGTCATTGTTTACAAGTGTTATTTTACGACAACTGTGGTAGTCGTTTTCAAAAATTGTTATCCTGTTAGATCTGGCAGTACATATCAGTGCCGCGCTTCTACGTGTTGTTGATGTAATTAGAGTTGAGGACATTATACACTATGACCGACATTGTAAATAAGTGTTATAGGATAAATGTGTAAAAAATGTTTTATAGGTTATGTGTCAACATTATTTATTTATTTATTCCAGAAACAAACAGGCATGAGCCTAATTACATGTTCCTATAAATACAGCGAAAATAGAAATCAACAAAAATACATAATATCTAATTAAATATATAAGTGAAATTATAATAAACAAACCTCGCTACTACAAAATTTTAACAAAGTTCGTTAAAGAACAAAACTACTGAAATAATCAGAAATATTCAGGAATAATCAGAGCGTCTGCAAAACCCCACACCAAGGCCACGGAAATCCTGCAAGGTTATATCTCTTTAATCGAGCCCAACAATTTTGTTAAGTTCCTTTCTATATGTGCTTATAGCTACATCAAAAATACCGCAAGAAATGCCTTCGGAGTGTACATTAAACAAAAGACAAATTTTTTCTACTGGACCATGATTATCCGCACGAAAAGTTAATTGACGTGGACGAATACCTGCTATTGGAACATTAATTTTTATTTGACTCAATAAATATTGACTGTCCAAATATCCATTTAATAATTTATGTAAAAAGATAAGGTTGATTATAGAGCGTCTATGTTCCAATTTTTCAATTTCAAACTCTTTTCTAATAGGTCCAAATGAAACAAATCCTGGACTTGTATGATACTTTTTAAAGTATAAATATTTGACAAATTTATTTTGAATAGTTTCCAAAATGTGTTTTAAATTTTGTTGTGTAGGGTCCCATACAGTGGATGCATATTCTAATTTACTACGAACGAGAGCAAAAAATACATTTTTAATCGAGTGTGTGTCTGTAAAGTCCCTAGTCGTGCGTTTCAAAAAACCTAACAATTTGTTAGCTTCTTTGGTAATGTTATGAGTAGATGTAATTGGCCGGTTCTGGAAATGAGAAAGAGGTACAGAGAGAGGTAATTGGGTAATTAGTAATTATCCTAAGTACCCCCCACCCTTCGCGCAATTAGCAAGTACCTCCCAATTACATCATGTACTGTAATAAGTGCAATTGCACAGTAAGTACCACCCAATTACATCATGTACTGTAATAAGTGCAATTGCACAGTAAGTACCTCCCAATTACCATGTACACGCCATACTGTAATGATTGTATTTGCATAATAAGTACCTCCCAATTACCCACAGGGTATACATCTCATTACTTCATACATATTAAAGTGTAAGTACACCTTAGGTAGTAATTACTGTATGCAATGTAGTGTAATGAATGTTATCTAAGTGCCTCCTAGTGATTAATGTTGGTAGCACGTCCTTAACTCTCAGCCGGCGTGCCTAGAGTGCATAGCTTGCGTTAGAGACGGTCGTGCTTAACCGAAATATCGAAGTAAGGGACTAAGAAGGGGTAGCCTGCGCCAGAGATAGACGCGCAATTAGAAAGTACCTCCCAATTACAGCATGTACTGTAATAAGTGCAATTGCACAGTAAGTACCACCCAATTACCATCTACACGCCATACTGTAATGATTGTAATTGCATAATAAGTACCTCCCAATTACCCACAGGGTATACATCTCATTACTCCATACATATTAAAGTGTAAGTACACCTTAGGTAGTAATTACTGTATGCAATGTAGTGTAATGAATGTTATCTAAGTGCCCCCTAGTGATTACTGTTGGCAGTAGGTCCTTAACTCTCGACCGTCGTGCCTAGAGTGCTTAGCCTGCGTTAGAGACGGTCGCGCTTAACCGAAATATCGGGGTAGGGCTGAGAAAAAGTGGGGGCATTTTCTAGAGGATATATACTAGGATCCGCATCCAAATAAAATCAGTTTAAAATCGTGAAATTTAAAAGGTCTACAAGTTCCAAATAGTTACCAAGTGTAGTATTGTGTGTGTATTATTCAGGTAAAAAAATATTTATTTGTATTCTACTATGGCTCAAACGCAAATTGATGCGGTTAATAAATTACTTGGAGACTGGCCCACAATATTGGACCAAAGAGAACTAAAGTCATTGGTTATAGGTCAACTTTATATTATTAAAACGATAATGGTCAAAGATACCAGGTATGGTAAATGTTTACTTATTCATTTAATTGATCGACATTCGCTGGAGCTTTTCCAGTGTTGGTTACCGAGGCGCATTTTTGAAATAATGCCATCCGAAGTCATTGCTATGATAAATGATTCTACTGGTCAATATGCCATGGTCTATTTAGGGGAAAAGCCGTGTTACAACTCAACTACTAGGTCTCATATAAGAATCGATCTAGTTGGCCAGCAATCAATTAGTTAAATCCATGGTAGAGTCACTGTAAATATTTTTTTACTTTTAATCACATATAGATATCTAATAAACACAATATTTCATTAAGAATTTCTACAATTTTATTGTAAGTATAACTTGGCCCATATTTGTTCATTTAATAACGGTCAAATATTGTTTCAGATTATTTCGATATGTGGATGATGTATTCCGAAGAGCACTGGCCTAAAGCCATCGACATAGAATCAGCAATAAGCAGACTTGGAAAGGAACTGGACGCACTGGCGATGGATGCATTACACTCCATCAATTACGACGCTGAGGTATGGCTGTTTCCAGAAGCTGTAGCCTATCAAAACGATTGTTATGAGAAATACTGTAAAGGCAGCAGTCTTTGCTGCGAATATAATGCATGTGAGCTGGACTTGGATACATTCTGTGAGAAGATGGTTACCCTAAGTTTGAAACGCTTTTTGAACGAGGCCTTACCATACATCACCCCGCAAATAAGGAGTAAACATGGTTTAGATGAAGATGCAGACGATGAGGCTGATGATGAGGCAGATGACGAAATGGATTAGCGATTACTTATATAATATATCTATCTATCTGTGATTAAAATATAAATAAAACAATATACATAGTTTAAATGTTTTTTATTTAAAAAAGGTTACATCTTTTTATTTTTGTTAAAAGTGAACACAGGTATAAGTTTGGATACAGTAAATTAGAGTATATGAATTACAATGGCATATATTCGGTGTGTACAGTGCCATCTAGTGCATTATAACTTATAAGAGCTTCATGAATAATAAGCGCATACGCTTTAGTGTTGGCGGGAAACTGCATTTTACGTGTTTCGAATTCAACCTTGACATCCACAGTTGAAGATTTGATTGGTTTTGGATACATACTGCAATCAATTACGAATAGGGGGTTCGCTCTAAAGCCATTCAGGCCTAACATCGGTTCAGGATTTTCCTTTTTGTAGTAACTTCGCTGAAAATCTTCATAAGCATAATAAGCGGGAGTATCCAACTTTTTCCCGACATCTAGAT